TATATATATATATATATATATATATATATATATATATATATCGTCACAAACAGAACTTCCCGGTAAACCGTAGGCAGAGAGAGAGAAGAGGACAACAAACGAGGGGCTGTGAAAAATTGGTTCGTTGGAGTTTCACTGACTCATTAGGAGGCTGAACCCTCGACAGTCTGTAGAATCCCCTCATTGATTACAATGTAAATGATAATCTACCTTAACCAAAATCAAAGTAGACTATCACTCACCCACATATATATATATATCGTCAAATATATATATATATATCTGTTTGTGACGATATATATATATGTATAGGGTTACCGGCGTTCGGGACGGTCCGAACGCCCGAACGTACAGGACCCCTTCGGAAGGCGTTCGATCGTTCAAGCCGAACGCGGACCAAAAAAAAAAATAAAAAAAATAAAACAACAAGTTTTCAAAAACTTCTGAAAACAAAATATGTTATGTAGAAAAATAAACTAAACAACATTTGCCTGGGCAAAACATCCAAATGCTTTACCAAATTTGAATTAAAAATCAAATACAGGAAATAAACAATGTGATAAAAAAAAAAAAAAAAAAAATCAGAATTAAAATGAGTGAGTGTGCCAGCACCTTTTCGACACCGCCATCTTTGCCGATTATTAATTATTTTTTGGCATTGAGAAATGCCCTGAAAATTTACAGATATATAGTTTACATAATCAATAACATATTTAACATTTTTCAAAAAATAATAATTTTTTTTAGGTTCCGAAATAAAGTGAAAACAAACAGTTAAAAGTGAAAAAAAACAAAATAGTGAGTGGGCAAGCACGTTTTGACACCCCCATCTTTGACGATGTTTAATGTGTTTTTGGCTTAGCAGAATGACTTCAAAATTTATAGGCGTGTACATTACGTGATAGAGAACTCGCACAAAAAAATTCAGAAAATAAAACTTATCTGGAGGCCCCAAATTTATTTTCGGCGGGGGCCGCACCTAGAGGTGTTCGGCCCCCGAACGGAACCCCGA